CTTTACAGTGAAGATCAAACAGAGTTTAGAGAGAAAATCTCACTGTCATTGAAGAAATAGAGGGATGGAGGGATAAAAAGGATAGAGGGATAGAGGTAAGGACAGAGTGTTGGAGATTTGAAGGAATGGAGAGATGAAAGGATAGAGGGATGGAGAGATGGATGGAGAGATGTAAGTATAGAGGGATGGAGAGATGGAGGGATAGAGTGATGGTGAGATGGAGGGATGGAGAGATGAAAGGATAGAGTGATGGAGAGATGGAGTGGTGGAGAGAGACGGAGGGATTATCAGGAGCAGTTTGAAAATGTTTTGCCCCTTTTTGTCTCGTTGGACACAAATGACTAGGGTTGAAATCCTGCACGTGCTACGCAGGGTCTCCATCGGTCAGCGGTATTATGGCACCCTCTAGTGGTCGAAACGCAGAACACATTTTCAGCTGTAAAAAGCTTTTTGATCCTCGTATATCTAAATCTGGGGCTGTATTACAGAAACCTCCTATCTTTTTGTCTTAACTTAAGATCTGCAAGGTCAAGATACGATTTTTCACAAACTCGTATTACAGAAGCAAATCTTATCTTGATTTAGGAATCTTGTCTTATCTTACCTATCTCTTATCTCTATATAAAAGACTGGATGTCTAGTAACTTTCTTCTTCTTTACTCCGATAAAACAGAGGTTCTACTTCTTGCTCCAAAAGCAGCTAGAAACAGACTGTCTAATTTAACACTTAAACTTAACAATTTCTCAGTTGCATCAAGCTCGTCTGTAAAAAGCCTTGGTGTCATTATAGACCCTGATCTGTCCTTCGACGCACATATGACTAATATTACTAGAACAGCCTTCCTGCATCTCTGCAATATTGCTAAATTGAGAAATGCATTATCTCTACAGGATGCAGAAAAGTTAGTTCATGCATTTATTACTTCAAGGCTAGATTACTGTAAAGCCCTGCTGTCTGGATGTCCCAGCAAAAGCCTTAACAAGCTTCAGCTAGTCCAGAACGCTGCAGCCAGAGTTCTTACTAGAACCCGAAGGTTTGACCATATCAGCCCAGTTTTATCAGTCTTACACTGGTTACCCGTTAAATTTCGCATTGATTATAAAATTCTCTTACTGACATGTAAAGCTCTAAACAGACTCGCCCCTCAGTACCTGGGTGAACTTCGCTCTCACTATGAACCATCACGCCTACTTAGATCACAAGGTGCTGGCTTACTATTAGTACCTAGAATTAATAGTTACGTCAGGGGGGAGAGCTTTCTCATACAAAGCCCCCCAGCTTTGGAATAATCTTCCTGTTAATGTTTGGGACTCAGACACAGCCTCAGTCTTTAAGTCTAGGCTAAAAACTTACTTGTATAGTCAAGCCTTTGGCAATTAGTTTTCCCTGTCAGTTCTATACCTGCCAGAGTCTCTGCTGCTCTGCTAACACGTTAATCTGTGATCAGTCACCCATTACAGAACTGTCTGTGTGTTTTTCCTTTCCTTTCTTTATTTCCTTTGCCGAGTTGAACAGCTGCCCCTCCTGTGCATTCTGATGCTGCTGCCTCTCTGCCTTGATCGGGTGCCACCGCTGGCCAGCCCTCTGGACCAGCTTGACCACCACTGAGCTTCTTGCTGTACAACGCCGTGCAAACCTCACCCTCACAATCCCGACCTCACTGATGCTGCTGTTGCATAAACTAAACTAATCAAATTAATCATTTGAACTAATCAGTCATTCACCAACATTTAATGCTGAAGACTGATGCGCAGACTGTTGGTCACACAGCAACGCAGACAACGAAATGGCAAAGAGAAAGATTTAAGACAAACATCAATAATTTGGAGATAAACAGACTTTGCATTTATTTGCATTTATAAGCACTCAGATGGTTTCCTGATACGTTTAATCTGCAACAACTCGCGAAGATGAAGTCAGCTTCTCTTTCTCCTGCTTCTTGTTCGAATTCTCCCGTTCCACCTTAAATGCCGCAGCAGTACAATCTGGCACCTTGGGTACCATTTAAGGTGAAATGGGACAATTCGAGCGACAAGCTGGAGAATGAGAAGCTGAATTGAGCCTTGTAAAAAGTCAAACATTGAGAGACATTTTACAAGAAACTTGTGGAGAAGTTTCCTGAGATAGGAGAAAAGCGGCTATAGCTGACATTAGCATATACTGAGACATATTTACAGCCAAGATGGTAAAAATGGACATAAAATGTTGTGGCTCCCAGGTGGTTTAATTTTTGTTGAAAGGACAGAATGGCTCTTTTTAACATTTTGGTTGCCATCCCTGAGCTAAGCCTACCAATAAGGGGTTATCAGCGTGTGGGGCCAGCACGTGACCATTTGCTCGAACTGTCTGCGGATCAGTCAGGATTGCACAGCCGCCACCAGTCCAGTTAATGACCGCATTGTATAGTTCAGATTTTGCACGGATTGCCTGAAGCCAGTAGCGAAATTATAGTGGAAATTATCGCTATAGCTACACAAAAATTGTAGGTGCTACAGCTATTAATTACTTTTCATAAAACTGTAGCGGCTACAGCTATTGGCTACAAAAATTTGTAGTTAGCTACAAAAAGTAGCATGCTACTTAGCTACTCCCCCCATTCCTGAATGTTTTATCATCAACATTAACATACGAAGGTAATAGGAGGGGACTGTGGAGATCTGTGGTGGTGTCTGCAGTGTCTGAGATTTTTAAAAGGCTGTTAGAAAAAAAAACCCTCACAAGTCAAAGCATCATTTTCAATGTAGATAAATGTAATGTTATTATTCCAGTAATAGTGAACTGTGCTGCCTGACACTGTATAAAACAATAGAAACAGACAGTTAAAACAAAAGTTAAGACAGCTCTGGGTTGTCTTAAAGTTAGGACAAAATTTAGGAAATTCTATCTAGTTAGGATGTTTCTGTAATACTGTTTTCTTATCTGGGGTTAGGATAAGATTATAAACTTAAGAACTGTTATGCTGTAATAGCTTCTGTCCTAAATTCAATCCTAACTGAAGTTGTAATGGTGACTAAGCAGATAAGATGAGATTTCAGACAAGAAATTTCTGTAATATGGCCCCAGGAGCCCAAGCTTTATCATTATAATACAAATCAATTATTCGTATTATTCGAAATAGTTTGAATCAAATTCTGAACTAAATATTTTCACAATTACCGTAGGTCAAAACAATCTCTCTCTGTCTCTCTCTCTCTCTCTCTCTCTCTCTCTCTCTCTCTCTCTCTATTCAGGTGACTATTCATTTGAATTTATGAATTTACTTCCTAACTTATTATATTTTTGTCCAGTGTATTTGTGCTTCAGTTTGTACACAGTTCCACTCCTTTCAGTGATTTAGTGATTCAGTGAGTCTGACCTGAACGTTACATTTCTAAAATATTAATATCTATTGAATCAGCTTGTTCATATAGTTATATGAAGTGAATGTAATACAGTGTGAAGTGTGTCAGCTGTAACTCGAACATTGCTCAAGAATAATGTCCCATCATCATCATCATCATCATCATTGGCATAGTGCCAGCAGGTTCCTCATTCAGCCATGTCTCAGCCTCATTATTAACTTATTCTCAACTGAAACCGTGCTGCTGGTTCACAGAAACAGCACAATGAGAAAAACAGGTGTAGGTAAGGTTCACAGAGTGAATCTCCACTAAGCGAATCTCCACTTAGAGAACCTACTGAGTGAATCTCCACTGAGGGAATCTACTGAGTCAGTCTCCACTGAGTGAATCCCTACTTAGTGAACCCACAGAGTGAATCTCCTCTCAGTGAATCTCCCTAGAGTGAATCTCCACTAAGGGGATCTACATAGTGAATCTCTATTGGGTGACTCTCCACTAAGGGCATCTACTGAGTGAATCTCTACTGAGTGCATCTCCACTTAGAGGATCTACTAAATAAATCTCTACTGAATGAATCTTCAGTGGGGGAATCTCCACTGAGGGGATCTTTTTAGTAAATCTCAACTGTGTGAAAATCCACTGAAGAGATCTACTGTGGGGATCTACTCAGTGAATGTCCACTCAGGGGATCTCCACTGAGTGAATGTACTGAGTAAATCTTCACTGACAGAATGTACTGAGTGAACCTCCACTGAGGTGATCTACTGAGTGAATCTACAGAGTGACTCTGCACTGAGTGAATCTCCATTGTGTAAATCTTCACTGACAGAATGTACTGAGTGAACCTCCACTGAGGGGATCTACTGAGTGAATCTACAGAGTGACTCTGCACTGAGTGACTCTCCACTGAGTGAATACAGTGGGTGAGTCTCCACTGAGTAAATCTTGTCAAGTCAGGTGGTTGTTCTTATAACCTGTACATATTGTATCAAAATGTGGTTCCACAGGCCCCAAACACACCACAGCAGCACATTAGACACTACATAGAGCTATACAGAGCATCTGTAAACATACAGAACAATAAATATGCCAGACAGTAAACACTAAACAGGACAACAGAGGAATATACATTAATGCTTCGTATGTACATGCACTGAATAAATGTACACAACGTAAACAAAACAGGGGAGACAGAACAGACCTCTACAAAATGTTTGTGGGCCCGTTCTTCATTTACTTCTATTTTCTTTAAAAACATAAAGAGCAGCTGCAGAAACGCCGTCAGCCACACACTACACTTCCACACTGATACTGACACTGTGATGTTGTTAAATTCCAATAACAAACACAAATCTCTATTTTTTTGGATTATTATGAGTGTGCGCGTGCGTGAGCTTGCGTGTGTGTGTGTGTGTAGTGTGTGTGTGTATATATATATATAATATATATATATATATATATATATATATATATAAATATATATATATATATATATATATATATATATAATATATATATATGTGTGTGTGTGTGTGTGTGTGTGTGTGTGTGTGTGTGTGTGTATGTGTATGTATACGCGCACGCGCGCGAGCACGGGCACTTCGTGCGTCTCATCGTGCTACGTGGCGCTTTCTGGCCAATAGCAGTGCGGCGCTGAGGATTGTGGGAGCTGCAGGGGCGCCTGCGCCGGTTCATTCAAGTGTCTTACGGATTTCCAGTTCGGTTTGTTTCGTTTTTATTTTTTTTAGTTTTGTTTTGTTTAATGTAGCTTATTTGAGCTCTGCAGCCTCCATTAGGGCGCATGTTCATAACCGAGCGTAGCTGAGCTTGTTTTTTTGTTTTTCGGGGACTTTTATTATATTTGCAGACTTGCTTTTAGAGAATCGGCAGCCTGAACTGAGCAGACGGATAACTCTAATATTATTAATAACGCTAATAACGCTTTCTGCGTCAGTATACTCCTCGCCAGGCAGCAGAACCTTCGGAACCATTAGAACCATCAGAGCCTTCCTAGCATGGACGTGCTGAATGTTCTGTGTTTTTTCTCGCTGTGCTGGTGGTCGGTGCTCAGCAAACCCACCCTAAGGAAAGAGAGAGTTCATCATGATCCCGAACTCAGCAAACGGCTTCATGAGGACAACCAGAGCTACCAGTATGACCACGAAGCTTTTCTGGGGAAAGAGGAGGCCAAAACATTTGACCAGCTGACACCAGAGGAGAGCAAAGACAGATTAGGGTGAGATGTTTTAGCTTTTATCGGTTTTTTTTTTTTTTGCAGAAAATTCAAGATTTTAAATCCAAAAACTGAGGCTGAAGTAGGCTTCTTATTCGGAATTTTCCGTTCCACCTTAAATGTTGAATGCTGTAGCAGTTACACTCAGGCTGCTGCACCATTGACACAATTGACCATTTAAGGTTGAACGGAATGTTGCGCTGTAAGTGTTCTGTTTTCGTGCTACATGTGAATATTGCTTGTTTTTCTGTAGCACAGAGCTTGTGAACAGCCTGTGATTGCTGAACATGGTTCTCCTGTTCTCCTGGTTAGTGTGGGGTTCTAGGGCGCGGGTCCTTTTCCCTTTTCCTGTTCAATCTTCTCTGAACTGCTGTAAAAGTGGGAGGTCTCTCAACACCACAACGTGGCATCAGGGATAAAAATAAACTCTGTCTTTTTCTTATAGACAAAGTTTAAAACTACACTATATTAATTATGTTGAAAAAATAATAAACATAATATATTTTATTAATGTCTGAAAACAGTTTATAATATGATTAGAGTATCTTTCAAATGTCATATCCAGCACATCCAGAAGCCTGATCTTCTGTCTGTTCTGTCTGTTTAGGAAAATTGTAGATCGCATCGACGGAGATAGTAACGGATACATCACCACAGACGAGCTGAAGACTTGGATAAAGAGGGTTCAGAAGCGCTACGTGTACGAGAATGTGGCGAAAGTCTGGTCAGATTATGATCTCAACAAAGACAACAAAATCTCGTGGGAAGAATACAAGCAGGCGACATATGGATATTATCTAGGTGAGGTTAAAGGGTCAGCAGGTCTAGCCTAATGCCTGAACCAAAACAGGGCTAAGCGGTGGTCTCAGTTCAGGGTTTTGCAGGGGGTAGACAGTGATGCCAGTGTTTGGGTTGGGTGGAGTGGGAGCTGGCATGAAAATCTGGGTGGGTGTGAGTGTGTTTGTGAGGTGTGTGGCATCAGCCTGAGTGTTTGGGTGGGTGGGTGGTATGAGCGTCTGGTCAGGGCAGCATGAGCGTTTGGGTGGGTGGCTGGCAAAAGCGTTTAGGGGTGACACTGACATGGGGTGGGGTCAACATGAGCATTTTGGTGGGGGGTGGGTTGTACGGGGGTTGGGGTGGGGGCAGCATGAGCGTTTGGGGGGGAGATATGGAGCAGTGTGGATGTTTTGGTAGGAGATATTGCCGTTTTTTGGATTTTAGGCTGAAATACAATGTTCTACAGCTTTTGATTTTTGATTGTGAATAGCTGTTCGGCTTTTTGCTTTGCGGTGGAAGTGCATACTGTTTCTGAGATGTGTAAATGTTTAGGAATAAACTTCTGGCTTTTTTTGTGTGGCAAATTGATCAGTTCAATAAATCAACTGCAGAACAGCACATGATGGAAAGACATAATGAACACATCGGGCAGCATGGCCGATCAGCTGTTTTGGATCATGAGTTCTTTCTTTCTTTCTTTCTTTCTTTCTTTCTTGCTTTCTTGCTTGCTTGCTTGCTTTCTGTCTGTCTGTCTGTCTGTCTGCTGTGAGTCGCCCTGTAAAGCCTGAAACGTTCATTTAAAAATCAGAGCTGTTGAGTTTTTTTATACCACATAAAATATCTTGACGCGTTAATGTCACACACAAAATCAAAAAGAAGGCTCGGCTCGATGTTTAGGTCTCAAACTATTTCAAATTATCAGAAATGATTGCATGGTTGTTTGGGTGGGGGTGGTAGGGGCAGCATGGGCGGTTGGGAGGCATGGGTTAGCATGGGTGTGTGGATAGGTGACATTGGGGCCAGTGCTGACGTTTTGGCAAGGAGTGATGTTCAGAGCGTGAGGGCGTGCTTAATGTTTGCTCTGCTTATAGAATTTAAACGTTAATGTTGTGTTTTTGCAGCAAATCCTGAAGAGTTTGAGGACGCCACAGATCAGTTCAGCTTCAAGAAGATGCTTCCACGGGACGAGCGAAGGTTTAAAACCGCTGATCTGGATGGAGACCTGGCGGCTGAACGAGAAGAATTTACCGCTTTCCTTCACCCAGAGGAGTTCGACCACATGAAGGAAATTGTGGTCCTGGTAAGGAGGCATATTTGTGTTGTTGTTTTTTTTATATATATATATTTATACTTTTATCAGTGTGAAGACGCCAGCGCAAAAAAACAGACTAAGTGAAGAAGACTTAATGGAACATTTAAAACTCAGTGGTGTGTTTGTTAATTTGAAAAACACCAGCATGTGTACTAGAACATTAGTAAGTATTTGGGTTTTGCATTGTTTATAGATTGTGTTACTTGCGCTTATTTATTCTTTAAATAAGCTCACTGGACGTCTGTTTGCGGTCTTTACACTTGGTGGCTTGCTGTTACCTCTGAGATTAATAAAGTGATCTCTCTATCTATCTCTCTATCTATCTATCAGTTAACTGGTGTAAAGGTTATGACACAAATTATACCCTTAGAAGAATGTCAGCTAGTAAACTAGCCTCCTACTGGTGTGAACACTAAAGCATCCTAATGCATCTCCGACAGCAACAAAGTACCTTATAATAAACTGTATTATTACAACAGAGATAAAAGTGGCTGCAGAGCTTTCTTTTCTTTATTTGTTTATTAGTTGTGTTGGTGATTCATGTGAGAGTCCGCTTCACTTTTCTCACTCATAACATGCCAGAAATCTACCAGCAGTTCCTTTCTCTCGCTGCTGTTAAGTTGCAGATGTTTTTTCTGCATCACTTCACGTTCTTCACCGGCCTCCTGCACAGACTCGTCTCCATTATGAGTACGTCTTGCAGTAGAGTGCTGCTCATCACCATCTGAGTTCTGGCGTCTGACAAACTGGATCAGATTATCCATGATTCAGGAGATTGAACCTGAACCTGAGTTTATTTCCCAGTCGGAGAGGATAGATATTGAGAGTAAGCTCTGCAGGGCGAAGATCAGATCTTCATCCATATAAGGGAGCCCTTTAGCTCATCTGCCTAAAAATTCAGAGCTGTTTTAAAGACCAACTTCTCAGAGGTCTTCTGTTAATTCCATGTTACAGTGCTGCTCATTTAAACCCACTGAAATTCTCATTTTGTGTGTAAGCTAAAAGTTTTTTCTTTACATTTTTAGCACAACCTGTTTTATTATAAACCTCTTGTACCTCAGCAGAGCTGGTTTTACCTCACAGGTTTTCATAATATGTTTTTGGGCTGTTTTTGCAACATCAGGATCCTAAAATGACAGAAACACATTGATGGGTATTTATAGGTATCAAAAATGTTGCCAATTTGGTTTTCTGGTTTCTTTTTCAGGAAACAATGGAGGACATTGATAAGAACGGTGATGGTCATGTAGATGAGGATGAGTACATTGGTAAGACATATGTAGTTCTACATGTTCTACAGCTTTTGATTTTTGATTGTGAATCGGTGTTCAGCTTTCTCCTTTGCAGTGGAAATGCACACAGTTTCTGAGACATGTCAATGTTTAGGAATAAACTTTTGGCATTTTTTGTGTGCCAGGTTGGCCAGTGCATTAAAACATCTGCAGAACCTTTTTGAAAATGGTTCTATATAGCACCAAAAAGGATTCTGATATTGTGTACAAGCTGGACATCATAACAATAGAAGAACCCTTTTTGGTGCTATATAGAATCATTTTCAAAAAGGTTCTCTATAAAACCATCTACAGCACTTTCCGTCAGTATGAAGACCCATTTTAGAACAACTTTAGTCAGGTAAAGGGTTCTTTGATTGTTCATATCTGTTTTAGAGTGTAGTTTTATCTTTTGGGTCGTGTGATGTTGTACTGCAGTTTCTGTATTTCCATTTTCAATCACAAGATGTAAATGAAACATGCAAACAACTTCAAGCAACCTATATATATCACATGATTTATTGCCAACAATTTATTATTGATGTTATTAATAATGTGGATTAGTGGTTGCAGCTCTAATATGCTGACATCTGGCACATTTTCAGCCACTCTTTATTTTTTCTACTTTAAAAATATGTTGATTGGTTTCATTTACTTGAATTACGAGCTGAGAATCATTTAAGTTGTAATAAATAATTATTTTGGGAATCAGCAGAGTGAGTCTGTCACTGAACGATTCTGTCTGAATTAATGCTAGTTGTGGTTTTGCAGCGGACATGTTTGCTCATGAAGAAGGTGGTCCAGAGCCCGATTGGGTGAAGACCGAGAGAGACCAGTTCTCTGACTTCCGCGACCTGAATAAAGATGGAAAAATGGACCTGGAGGAGATCCGACACTGGATCCTGCCTCAGGATTATGACCACGCGCAGGCCGAGGCCCGACACCTGCTGTACGAGTCCGACACAGACAAGGTAATGAAAGCATCAAGCAGACTTATCTAAAGTTTAAATATTTTTTAATGATTAAATGTACATCTCAGCTTAAAGTGCTGCTGCAGTAGAAAACTGCAGAGATTAGCAGTTCACGGAGACATCGTTCACACCTGACATTAACATGCAACTCTGGGCGATCTGACCATAACTGGACAGCATTATCAGTCAATGATTCAATCAGTCAGTCAATCAATCAAACAATATTTAAACCAGGAGTACATTGAGGGTGACACTCACTTATGTAGCTGAGCCAATGCAGAAATCAGGGATTGAAAAAAATAGATTGTAAAAACATGAAATGCTAAAAAAAATAATAATCATCATCATAATACTAAAATAATAGTAAAAAAAAATCAGTCAAATCTAAATAAACCATTAAAATGGCAAATTGCAAACATAATAAATAACATGAAATTTGGATAAAATAATGAACACTTAATTAAATAAAAACTGGAACATATAAAACAATAACCTAGCCGTAACTAAAAAATAAAAGTTGATAAAGAAAAAGAATAATAAAAGTGACAATAACTAAAACATACCAAAATCATGTTAAAAGTTAACTAAAATCAACTAAACAGTGTCAGGCAGAGTGGAGGTGGTTAAAGAATAAAAGTTTAAAATGTTACTCCTGCGAGTGAAGCTTTAGAGGTTCCTGTACTGAACTCCAGCTCACTGGTGCTGCAGCTAAAAGCAGATTTTCCCAGTTCAGTAAAAACTCTCAGCACCTGAAGGCTGATTAGTCACTGAACCATTCTAATAAACTGCATTATTTACACTGAGCATTTGTCATACACTCAGTAAGAGCTTTATAGATACAAAGAAGCCAACGCCCAGACAGAGATGACCAGCTGACCTTTTCATACAGTCCACAGTGATGGTCTGTAAGTCACAAGTAATAAATCTTAAAGCAGAATGGTGTACAGAGTCTAGAGATTTCAGAGTAGTTGCAGCTGTACATCTGTATTTCACATCACCAAAATCCAGAATGGACAAAAGCGCTGCTTTAGTGATCTTGTTCCTTGTGTGGAAACTGGGTTTTGATGCAGGAAGCCAAGTTTGTGCCTCAGTTTACATGTAAGCTTGTTAACGTGGTACATAAGTGCATTTGTCATCTAGCCATATGTCAAGGTATTATACTTACTAACTCTTTCAATGTCAGATCCCTTCAGGGTTGTGATTTTAAAAGTATTAAAATCAATGTTAGCAGCTCTGGACAACAGCATAAATTATTTTTCCTAACATTAAAAGACTGGTTTATGATTGTAAAAAGTTGATTGTAAGGCATTAAAATAATGCTGCCGTAGAAAAAATGCACTACAGTATAGTCAGCCGAGCAGTACAAGATGGTGTCATCAGCATATAAATGCTGATATAAATGCTATAAATGTACTTTGCAATTGACAACGAAGGCGGCAATGTCATTAATATAAATATTAAATAGTAATGGTCCAAGGATTGAACTTTGAGGGCCCTCCTTAGTTACTGGTAGTAGCTATGATTTACTTTGTCCCAGGGCCACACGTTGCTGTCTGTCAGAGAGATCATTTCTAATCCAGTTGGTAGCTCAGTGTTCAAAACCAATATTTTGTAGACTTTTTAAGAGTAGGAAATGATCAACTGTATTAAAGGCTTTTGAGAGATCAATGAAAATAATTGCACAATGTTTCTTACTATGATTGACATTAAACTGATCATCTAAAATGAGAGTAGCAACAGAGATTTAGCTTCTCTCTGAAACCAGATTGGTAGTCTGACAAAACTGAATTTACAAGGTGAAATGTCCGGTGTGGATCATTAACTAGATATACTAAGATTTTGACTAAGCATGACAGTTTTGAGATGGATCTATAGTTATTAAGATCAGAGGCATCTCTTCCTTTGTGAAGTGAAATTACATGAGCTTTTTTCCTGATACTGGGAATTTTGCTTGATTAAAATATATAGATTACAAATATATGCAATGTGCTCTACGATGATGGGGTCAAAAGTTCCAGAAGTTTCAGAATAAAGAGGTCCAAATTGTCGTCTCCTGTACTTTGTTAAGGGAAGCGTTCGACCATATAACATCAGTAGAGTGGACTAGTGATGCAAGGCAACAAAATCACACCAAAATTTAGACACATTCAGCTGGGAACCAAAAAAAGCTGACAGTAAATAAAAACAGTAAAATAAAGGTACTGAAATGATTCCAGTGTTACAGAATGAGCTGAACTCCAGTGTCCTGAACAGGAGAGAATGGCTGTTCAACACTGACCTCCATGACGGTCAGTGATTCTGCTCTGTGTATGTGTTTGTGAGTGTTTTCATCATGTGATAATTTGAGTTACAGATGCTGTCGGTGCTGCAGGACTTTCCTTTAATCAACGCGTGCAAATAATATTCAATAAGTGTAAATATCAACTGATTTAATGAAGATCTTTAATGGAAATCATATAAATATCTCTGAGTAATTTCTTTTGGATCACCTTTTGGATAATAACATTTTTTAACCCTATTGTGAAGGTTGTTACTATAAACACGTGTGTTGGTTAGAGAATAAAACACAAAATGTGGCCTGTGCAAAAGTTATGCCATATTATATATTTTATGTTTTTACACTCAGTAAATACACAGTAATTGTGCATTAAAATGTGCAGAAGTGTGTTCTCTGTAGAGGGCGTGTTAACTTATTTACACTTACAAAATCCACAATATGTGTAATTTGACTTGGATATTCAAACTTTTAGATACGACTGTATAAAGAAAGCCTGTTATTAATGCACAATAACAGCACAGTTTAAATGAATGAAGTAAGGTTTTGGGCTTTTGTGTTCTTTAGGATCAAATGTTGACTAAAGAAGAGATCTTGGAGAACTGGAACATGTTTGTGGGCAGCCAGGCGACCAATTACGGTGAGGATTTAACCAGGAACCACGACGAGCTGTGAGCTGGACAGTGTCTGACCACATCGTGGTCCATCATGGTTCAGCGATGGTCATTGTCAGGTGATGGCCTTCTGGTGTAGAGCCTAAAATATGCATCCAGGATGATGATTTGAGTCTGACCGACTGACCGGCTGGCCTTTATGGATCTACCTCAGTGCCCAAACACTCGGTGAAGCCCACAGCCGTGACAGAAACTTCATCCCTTCCTCATCTGTTTATCCTTCACTGCTTTGTTTGTTCTTGCATGGATTCGGACACTCCACCGTTTATAGCTGACGCTAATTTTATTAGCCTGAAATGAGCCTGAATCACTGACTCTACCATGAAGCTCCAGCAGCTGTTTGTTTATTTCTGTGCCAAAATGTAAAAACAGCCTAAAGATTTAAGCTGTATTTATTTAGGCGTTTATTTGAGGACATTATCTAAATATTTATAACTTTGTGTAAGTGTTTTAAAGCAGTATTTGTGTCAGAGGCTTTTACAAACATCCAGTTACATTAGAATAACAGAGAATTACATTTTTAATGTTGACAGTGTCAGCCTGTAGAGGCTTCAGTTTTATTAAATTCTGATGTGGTTAAAACACTATTTGAATTTTGCTGCCTCGAGCCAAATGATTTTTATTTTGTTTGTTTCTCTTTTGTAGCACATTTGCTGTCTTATTTCTGAAAATACTGTTTAAATGTTTTTATTGTTCCATCTCATAAAGGGGTTGCATGTGTTATAGATTTAGACATCTGTGGTATTTGAGGTTTTATTTGAAGGTTTACACAAAAAGTAAAAAGACTTTATTTTTTATTTAAATAATAAATAATATGCAGAACACAACAATGTCCTTAAATCTAGTTCTTTTTCATATTGTATATGTGTATATATAATTTTTTTTTAACAATTACTGTACAAGTTCTTTTTTTAATGAAAAAGTCCAGATTCAGATTTTTTCCAGGATATAATATAAATTACAGTTGTGTTGTTCTCTGGGTTTTTCACATTAACGTTCAGAACATTACATTAATATTCAATTTTGCAGATTATACTGAAAGTTTTAAAAGTGAATATCAACATTTCAATAAAGTTCTGGTAATTGATGGTAATCACTGAAAATACCGATTATCTGAAAAACAGACTATCTGGTCCATTTTCTGATGGAAAATAAAAGTGAATGAAGTGTCCATTAAATGCTAATTAAATGCTGACAGTATAGAAGGGTGTTCCTATGCAGATAAGCTTTTTTAGTTTTGAATGATATAAATGTTTTGCTAATCACCACAGTGTATTCTGATTGCTGTAGTTTTGAATATGTTTTGACAGGCCTTTTTGATTAAAAATTAACACCTCGTCTGTTTTAAAAGCGTAGAGTCAGATCAGAATAAAGTCATCTCCTAGGACTTGATCAGTTTCAGAACACTTCAGAAATTGGCCCCAAAGGTCAAGCATATTCTACAAGCTGTCACCTCTATTGAGTATAACCTCTATTGTCACGTCTATTGAGCTCAAATGAGACCCACTTGATATATAAGCTTCTGGTCCAGTCTTTTTCTCTAATACTCTTACATTATTTTTCTGACCTTCATGCTCTAAAATTCTGACCATAGCCCTCTGAGCCTACCTCTGTAGTGCTAAAGCTTAACTCCTAAATCTGTGAAACTAAAACTAACTTTCTGATCAGTTTTAACTGATTTAACTCTGTGCTCTGATTCTAAACTTTTAACCCTGTCTGACCGTCACTCTGTTACCCAAACATGATAGCCCTGATGATTTGGCTCTAACTGTGCTCTCCAGCCGTAATTCTAGTACCATACTACTATAACTATTATACTGTACTATAACTGTATATAACTATAACTATATCCTCTCACTGTAATCCTTGCCCTAACTTTCTTACCCTAATTCTCTTACCTAACACTGTAAACTGGACCCTCTCTGATCCTAGGCCCAGCTTCAATCCTCTAACCCAAAATCTATATCCCTACTAATTTTAGAGCTAGTGACCCTAATTCTACAGACCCTAAAACCTAGCGAGACTAATCCTAACCCTAACTGAAAGGTGGCAACTGCTTAGCAATCACCTAGGACACCATAGCAGTTGCATAACAACCCTATAGCATAGGGTTAGGGGTAGGAAAATCAGAGCTATGGTTAGGAATAGGACAAGGGTTACACCTAGGGTCAGAGCTAGAGTTAGGCGTTAGGGTTAGGAAAATGATTACATGTAGGTCCGAAATTAGGGTAGGGATTAGGTTTGGGGCTGATTTTAAGATGTCACATGGGGTTAGCACTGTGACAAGTGTTAAATTTATAAGCAGAGCTAGTGTTAAGAATAGCACTAGGGTTCAGTTTAGGCGTTAGGGTTATGCATTAGGGTTAGGGTAAGGAAAATTATTACATGCAGGTCCAAAATTAGGGTAGGGAGTAGGTTTGGGGCTGAATTAAGGCAGTACTGCATAGCGTTTCCAGCCTTTCTAAAGCGCCTGAGCACTTGTGGATTTGAAAAGGCGTTTCACCATGAAGAAGTGCCTAAATCCACGACTTCATTATTGGTTTTGTCACCCAAGTGAAAGTAGTCAGATAAGTAAACGCTTTGGTATGAAAACAAACGCCTAAAACCAAGATTGAATGATTGCATAAACCGTATCATACAATTAATGTTCTTTCACATGAAAATGGGATTTACGGTCAGTACCTTCATATATTAAATGTGTTTTTTGGCAGAAATGTCTGTTCATAATTCTCATAATGTCATCGCGTGAAGAGGATCCTGTGTAGCACTTCTAGCCCTTCTAAAGCGTTTGAGCGCTTGGGGAGTGCAGTGAACGCTTTTCAGTGAAAACAAACGCCCAAAACCAAGATTGAATGATTGCACAGATCTAGTCACAAAAGTAAACGCTTAACTGTTCTTTCTCATGAAAATGTAATGTACGTTTACATTTGAAGTATTTTTACGGCAGAAATGTCGTTTCATGTTAATCATAATGTCTTCGCGTTAAGAGCATCCTGTACAGCGCTTCTAGCCTTTCTAAAGAGTTTGAGCGCTTGTGGTGTGCAGTAAACGCCTTTTCAGTGATAAAAACCGCCTGAAACCAACTTTGAATGATTTCGCACATCCAGTGACACAAGTAAACGCTTTAGTGTTCTTTCTAATGAAAATATGATTTACCGTCAGTACCTCTACATATAAAGTGTGTTTCATGGCAGACACGTCTTGTCATAATCATTAAAATGCAAGTTGTCTGGATGTAGGAGCCTAGGAGCGAAAGACACAAAGGGGAGACTTGGCTCATCTCCCCGCCTAAACCTGTGTAAGCCCTCTCCCGGTGTTTTGTGCTACTGTGTGGACAAAGGACAAACGGACCAGTGACACTTTATTAAAGCTATGTCTCTGAAATGCTGTCACTCGTGGGTGACCGGCTGTCTGTGTTCTCGTTCTCACTGGCCGAACTCTAGTTGTTGAGCTCCAGGCTGTCCTGTTCCATGGCCTTCATGCGCAGGTCCCGGACACGGAACACGTCCTGAATGTCGGGTACCGCTGTGTAAAAGCGATTGGCTGTCGCAACGTCGTGGCACATCCTCACACACACAAGCTTTCGGTCCTCAGCAGGCAGGTGTTTCCTCACCTTGCACACACATGCAAAGTGAACAGCTTAAGCATGGAGCTTTGGGCAGGGGCAAGTGTGAAATGATGAAGCCCAGCCCCACAGACCCACAATTTCATGGATGATGGATCCTTACCTGGTTGGCGATGGCAGTCCATATTAGGCCAAAGCTGATCTGGCCAGGCATACTGGCGTGATGCCATACAGCTCTCAGTTCGGTGTTCAACTTGGAGAGCTGCTTCCCGTTGTACTGGAACACATAGGGGCACCACTCCCCGCCAAAGTGCGATGACATTTCCATGAGGCCTTTGAGCCAGTCCACTTCTCGTGGGAGGAATGCCAGGAAGGCATTCTTGGTCGGTTTTGTGCTGGTCCACCTGAAATGGCATGGGGTTCAGTCTACACTCAAAGCAGAACCCCCCTGAGAGAAATGAGAGATGGAACCTGAAACAGGCCAAACTTACCCATATCATGGCCGGGTTCCATCTCCGCCTCCTGGACCTTGTCCTTCAGCGCTATCTTGCCAGATAACCTGCAGAAGTTTGAACATCTTGGCGCGGGGCTTTCTCCGGATCATATCTGTGAGGTCAAGTGGAAACAGAAAGTCACCCATGGGTGGTGCTTTAAAAAGAGCCGAGCGCAAGCTCTTGTTACTGGGCGTTTACCAGTCAACTTGGGAACCTTGTAAGAGGCAATGTGCATGAAGGTTCCCAAATCGCTGCTGGGTCCAAGCAATTCTGGAAGGCAAAATGCAAGGATGAGGCAACATGCACAAAAAGGCCCATAAGCCTAATACATGCTGTGATATACTCACTTGACTTCTTCCACTTGACTGTCTGCTGGTGGGCCTTAATCCTCCGGGAGTTGTCCTTCTGGAGCTTTTTGAGCTGTAGCAGGATGCGCTCGAATTGCTCGCTGCTCAGGCCGGACATCTCTGGGTGGAAAGTCCTTACATGCCTTATGAAGGCGTTCACGTTGAGCAGCATGTTCTTGATGGAGGTGGAGGTGTAGCCTTGCTGGAGAAGGATGGCAGGCCACCTGTAAGAGAACAAAAGCAGGCCTCAGGTGAAGGCTTTTGGATGGCGGATGTCGAGGTGCCGGGGCGGGCCTCTGACTCCCCCAGGGTGGATTCCCTCCTGTCGGTCTGTGCGGGCGGTGAATGGCTTGGTGACGGCACACGCCCGCACGGTTGTGCCCAGATCCAACTCGCTCACCAGGGGCGGTGTGGGTGCACAGGACCTGAGCTCTGCAAGCCCCCCCCGTATCGATGCATTCCCGCTTGGCCTCGTTCAGCATCTGCTCCAGCTCCTTCCCCGCAATTTTGTGGGTGTCAGTCAGGTGCCGATCTAACCTGGCCGGCTGGATTTTGTCACATACAGTGCAATTCAAGCAGCCCTTGAACCTCCCGCTAGCGAGAGTGAGGAGGAGCGCCAGCTCTTCCTTGTTTTCCATCCGGTGTCTGCGTGTGAGGTGATGGGTCATGACCGTGAACGTGTGTCCGCAGATCGGGCATTCTCTCTGCAAAAGTAAGGCGTAAAAACCTTCACTTTGAGCAGAGAAATTACCAGCGAAGAGACATGACATGTGGTTACTCACCATGCTGGAGGCCAGGCATGCCGATTGTCTGATCACGTGTGCGCACACAAAGTGGCGTCTGACTTGGTTCCGGGGAGGGGGAAGGCGGAGCTGCGGTCCAGCTATACAATAAGCTGCACCTGGCTCCTCCAGCGTTGACACATCGCCTGTCGATCCCAGAGTAAATCCCTAACCATAATCCTAGTGCTATTCCTAACCCTAGCTCTGTTTGTAAATTTAACACTTGTCGGAGTGCTAACCCCATGTGACATTTTGAAATCAGCCCCAAACCTAATCCCTACTGTAATTTCGCACCTACATGTAATCATTTTTCTTATCCTAATGCATAACCCTAACGCCTAACCCTAGTGCTATTCTTAACACTAGCTCTGCTTGTAAATTTAAACCTTGTCCCAGTGCTAACCCCATGTGACATCTTTAAAGGCAACTCATTATAATGATTATAAACAGACATTTCTACCAAAAAGTATACTTCATAATATGTGGGAACATACAGTCAATCACAATTTCTCAAGAAAACATATGAGTATTTTAACTTGGAAGGCTCCACCTGTACAATCATGAAGTCGTGGATTTAGGTACTGCTTCACACTGAAAGGGCGTTTCCAGCACTCCACTGATTGGGAACAGACAGTAAATCACATTTTCTTAAGAAAAAAATATGACTACTTCAGTATGGGTGACTACATATTTACAATCATGAAGTCGTGGATTTAGGCG